CTGCCCACGTGGACGAGCGTCTCCTCGGGGGAGGCCAAGAACGCGCTCCCTCATGCAGCCTCCTGGCTCGCCCGACTGGTCGGCTCAAGCCCCAGGTTGCCGGCCCCCTGTTCCCAGCTCTCACTGGTTCCAGGTCCCTGCATGGCCCCAGACAGGCCCAGGGTGGCCACTCCCACCAGCTCACCCCTCCACGCTGCGGCCGCATTCTAGCCTTATCTGACCTGGGCCCTGGGGACTGAGCCGTCTCTTGGCCTTTCCATGTGTCTCTCCTCGTCCCTCACTGGTGCTGGGACGCTGGCCTCCACCCTCAGATCCCACGCCTCCTTGTGGGGACACTGTCCCTGACTGCGGGAGGCAGGGGTGCTGGAGAGGGGCCCCTGCACATGACACGGGCCACACGGGCCCCCAGGAGTGGGCTTGTGTCCCCGGAAGGTGACATTCCCACACTCAGCAGCTGACCTCCTTCCCACCGGCCACTCCAGGGGCGGCTCGGGGGCTCGTGGGTGTCTGAGATTCCCAAAGCCGGGACCTGGAACCCCTGTGGCACTCAGGACAGGTTCGCACTGGTGTGGCGCTAAGTCACACTGACCCACATAGTGGGAGAATGGTTCCCGCTTCAACCTGGGCTGGGAGAAGGCTCTGCTCGCAGCTAGGGAGCTCTAGCAAGTGTTAGTCTTCCTTTGTGAGACTGAGAGGGAGGGAGAGGGGAGGCCTGGGGCTCCGATCTTGGAAAGGACACACCTGCAGGCAGAATCTGAGTCCCCCCGCCCCCGGCTGAGGGTCAGCCCGGCACAGGCTGAGGGCGAGGTGCGGCCTGCATTCAAACCCTGGTCCTCCCTTCTTCGCTGTGTGACTTTGGGCAGGTTACTGCCCTTCTCTGTGCCTTGTCTTATCCACAAGCAGAGACGACACTCCTTCATTCCCTGAGGACCAGACGACGGAGCAGCACCTGGATTCCTGAGCAGAAAGAGGAAAGGTGGCTGCCAAGGGGTGAGGAGGCCCCTGGGCAAATGTCCAGAAACTCTGGGGCAAGTGACGCTGGCCCCTCTAGAGCAGGGCCCTCACGGCAGCCGTGGTGGCAGCAGCTCCCATTTCTTGAGCAGCTCCGATGGCCCAGACCCGGCCCCTGCAGGGCTTGTGGCAGGAGGGGAGCCCCCAGCAGAGGAGACCGGCCCACATGGGGTCTCCCTGGTGCTGGGCTCTGCAGGACCCGCGCCTATTCAGTGAGACAAGAGGGGATCAGGGAGGCCTCCCTGAGGAGGTGACGTCTGGTGAGGGGACAGGAAGAACGGGGGCACGAGAAGCCCCGCCGAGTAGGAGGCCTGAGAGGGGCCAGGCCCCACGTCCTGCGGGCAGTGGGAGCAGGGAGCTGGATGCAGCCGGGGGTCTCGGAGCATGAGTCCTGCTGCCCAGGCCTGCTTTCCACCCTCCCCGACTCCTTCTGTCTGGGGACAGCCCCTTCCCGGCTGGGCCCTCCCAGGCTCTTCCACCCCAAACACAAGGCCTTGCCGTGCCATGGTGGAAGTGGCAGGGAGAAGTGTCCCCCAGCTGTCTCAGGACAGTCACCGCCCACGGCCCGCGGACGCACTAATCAGTGCGGACAGCTTGTATTTGATTCTTTCCCTTGACCTGCTTAAGATTCAGAAGCCACGTGCTCGGGGTGGGGGAGCAGTGAGGCAGCTGCCCCAAAGGAGAGGCCCAGGCCTCCGGGGTGGGACGGAGCGGAGAGGTGGGGGGGCCGGAGGATGTGCGGTGGGGCCGACTCTATCCCGTTCAGCAGGGCCGGGGGCGGAGCTGCTGTGTGTGCTCAGTGTGTCTGGGAACACAGGCTGGGGCTGGTCCATCCTGGGCCCGAGCGGGCGCGAGCCCTTGCTGGGCGGCCAGGTGCAGAGGGAGGGCAGAGCCTGGGGCGCAGGGCAGCGCAGGGTGAGGGTGGGATGGAAGGTCCCTGGCAGGTCGTCTCCACTCGCGTGTGTGGCTCTCTGCTGGAGGGCGACTTTGCTGCAACCAAGAGCCTGAGAAAGTGGCTCTGGATGTCGTGGGTCTGCTGCAAGGGCAGGGCCACCTCAGGGCCAGCGTGAGGACTTGGCAGTGTGGTGGGTGGAGGAGGCAGCCGCCAGAGTCCATCAAGTGAACGGGTATCTCCTGTTCTCCTGGTGGCCTCGGAGCTGAGGTACCAGGAGCAATCCTCAGAGGCGGGGACACCGCCGTCTCCTTCTGTGGCCTCGGACCCCATGCTCACATCCGTTCCCAGGGAAGGGCTCTCTGGTGGCTGAGCGCTGCAGCTCCCACTGGAGGATGCGAGACATATTGCAGTGCAGCCCTGGCAGGCTGGGTGCCAGTCACATAGATCCGACCCGAAGGCTGGCCTGGCGGGGCCCTCAGATGTCCCGTCCCCCTCCCCTGATCTGCAGGCCAGACCTCAGGGAACTTGTCACCCGTCAGCACCCCTCCAGGCTCCCCCCATCAGGTGTCACCCACTGCGGCACCGAGGAGGAGGGAGACGCACGCTGGGCTCTCAGAGAGGCGCCCCGTCCCCACCTGGGGCCCAGAGCGGAGCCGGTGACCTCAGGGTGGTTGCCAGACAGTGACCCAAACAGTGACCGCGCAGTTAAATGTGAACTTCAGGCAAACGAAGGGTGATTTTTGGTACGAGTGTGTCCCAGGCAGCGCAGGACATACACCACACGTGACCCGTGCTTGTCTGAGGCTCTGACCTAGCTGCGCGCTCTGGGTTGCACCAGCAGGGTGGAGCCCCTCCCGGCTGCCCTGGGAAGCGTTAAAAGTCCGGGCTGGGTGGGCAGGCAGGCGGTTTTAGACGCATTTCAGGGATGCTTCCCCCATCTTCAGGGCGGCCCACACCTCATCCAGGCCACACTCACGTTCCCCTTCCTGAGATGAGGAAATCGAAGCTTCCTCCAGGGCTGAAGAGGGCCGGTCATTGTGGAAGGAGTGGGGGTGCCCACGGGGGCCCCAAGGCCGGACGAGGCCCAGGATTCATGCCAGTTGCCTTGCACAGGGTTTAAAAAAATGCCCGCCTGTGGCCTTCCCTGATGTCTGCTTCACTGAGGCCCTGGGGAGGGCAGGCGCGCAGACCCTCCCCAGGCCTCTCCAACCCTCCCCTTGCTCCCCAGTGTGCGTTCTGCCTCCTGCTGGCGTCCAGAGTTTCCAGCCCTAGCACAGGGAGGGAGCTGGCCCTTGGGCAGAGCCTCTCTTGAACTCCGAGAACCTGTGACCCTGCGACCGCCGACCCCTCGCAATTGGGAGCCCCTGCACTCCTGACTTTCTCCCCTGGAGAGGAAGACATCACCAGAATTCTCCTCCCGGGGAGTTTGGAGGCTCAAGCTGTGAAGACTTGCAGGACACAGCCCCCAGCCCGCGCTGACCTCTGTGGGGCCCCTGGGGAGCCCCGGGGGCTGGGACAGGCTCTGCGCACGGGGAGCTCAGTGCGCGCGCGCAGGAGAGTGACAATGAGCAGTGGACTGCCCGGGAAACGCAGGCAGCCTTCCTCCTCCTCCTGCTCCTCGTGGGCCGGCTGGCCTGTCTTCCATCCGTCCCTCCCTCCACGCCTGCCCGTTTGTTGGTAAGTAAGTGCAAACCAGGACCAGCCTCCACCCGACCTGCCTGGGGAGGCCACCCTGGGTCTTTGGAACCCACAGCTTCTCTGAGCTTTCCCAGCGGGGGAGCCTCTCCCTCCTCTGCAGACTTCCAGAGGGGTCCTCTGGGGGCCGCCCCCTCCTCCTCTAGAGTAAGGCCCGGCATCGCCAGCCAGAGCTCCCGGCAGCGCCGGGCGGGCAGAGCGGCCCCTTAGCTCACGCAGCTGAGCGGGCAGGGCT